CCGAAAATGTAAAAAGCGCCGAATGGATGGATGACGATAGAAAGCTACATACTCGTCTCATGTTGGGTATCCAGATGAATTACTCTCGGACAAAAAATTAGAAGACTATTATATAGGGGTTGGACATTAAGACTGTGTTTTTCATTTTATGAATTAGTTTTTAGTTGCATGTGGAATCCAACAACTTCCTAAAAATAATACTGAGCACTAACCTCTTTAAGTATGAGGCTGAAGGCAAACGTTTAGTACTGCCAGTGCATCAAATCAATTGGGTTGACAGGGCGGAAAAAGTTCTTTATGTCAACGCATTTCATCACAGTCTAACAAACAGTATAGGTAAATTATATTGCTTGCTGACAAGCATGTTCAATTATCATTAAATTTACAGAACTGCCTGCCGCTAAACTGCAGAGTTTTAAAAATGATAGGCCACGTTATATGAACTACGGTGGAATAGGTTTCACAATTGGACACGAAATTACTCATGGATTCGATACAACATGTTTAAAATTGGATAAAGATGGAAATTTTGTAGATTGGTGGGTATCATCTACAAAAGAAAAGTTCATAACAAAGGTCCAGTGCATGATTGATCAATATGGAAACTATTCCGTACCCGAATTGGGATTAAATGTATGGTAGTAACATCATTCTCATGATATCAACGGAATTTTTGTTATTAATTGCTTTAGCTAAACGGCTTTAGGACCATAGACGAAACTATAGCAGATAACGGTGGTGTGAGACATGCATATTTAGCATAGAATGAATGGGTTCGGCGCAATGGGAAGGAACCACTTCTACCCGGTCTCAACTACACCGATAGGCAATTATTTTGGATTTCGGCTGCGAATAGTTTCTGTGCAAATCAAATACTGAGTTCGGTGAAGCGGCAAATTCATAACGATAAGCATCTTCCTTTCAAATTTAGAATAAATGTGCCTCTAAGTAATACGGATTATTTTGCTAAAGATTTTCATTGTCGTATAGGAAGTAACATGAACCCTGTTAGTAAGTGCGAAGTTTGGAGGTCATTGTAAGCGTTTTCAATAATTTGACTAAGTGTCATAAATCATTCTTTACTTACAAGGATGTGCCTTTGAAATTAGGTTTTAATTTAGTTTAATTTAACTAATTTTTGTTTCTTACAGTAAAAGCCAATAAGAATCTTCGGCTTTTGAGAACTGACTTAATTAATCAAGAATAATGTGCTAAGCTAAGCTGTTGAACATATCTTAACTGTATTATATTATAAATCATATTTCATAGCCCCTATTTACAGGAGATAATGGTTAAATAAAGTTTAGGGCATGCATGAATCTATTTACAAACTATGGTAATTGATAAAAAAGTCCCAACTTGTAGTTTTCTATCTTAGAGATACAACTCATTTCTTATGGCCCCTCTCAGGTGGCTTAAAACTGCTCGTTGAAGCGAGTTGAATGAAGATATTATATGCAGCCATTTTTTGCAAGGAATCGGATTATATTTCGAATTATGTTTTTTGTGTTCAACTAAGTCTCAGAAATGTGAGCGAATAATTCTAATTTTCTACCCCCTATTAGTACGGTGCAATTAGTCCATTAAACGGCTTAGCCTCAACATGCAAAATAAAAGCTTCCTACTTCCAGCTGTGCCCATTGTTCTATACAGTCCACATATTATTTCGTAGCACCATTATAAGCGTAGGATTTGGGGGGCCCAGGGTGTGATAATTAGGGACACAAGGGGTAGTAGTAGTTGGTTGTGTGGTTCTCTGTGACAGATTTGGAAAACGCCCCCTTCTGAGCTCAAAAGGTTGCAACCTGAGTTCAAAGGTAAATGTTGTTATTTCTATACAATCGAATTGTAATTATTACATTTACTTGAGATTCACTTAACGATTACAGCTGCGTTGTTTTTGCGGAAGCCTTTTTGGATATTAATGTTTTCCCCGACTTTATTTAAATTCAAATATTCAAATATTGACATAGCAGATCTATGTATTACAGTGACCTATTTGTAATATTTTTGAGATCATTTGATCAAATCAAGTATTGTTTATATTCTATTCTCATAAAATATTTTATTCCTTTAACTTAGCTTAGACCAAAATAAGGAACTCTAGTCTGCCTTGTTTCCCCTTTGGTAATTATTTTGACATTTACTGAAGAAGTGGCGTCTATTCGGATTACTATTACTACATGTTCCTCTTGCTCGATTTTTGCTTATGTATAAGAACCTCGATATTCACCCCGACCCAACTTTGCCTTTGCCTGAGCAATTTTGTTACGTTACGTTTGCCCAAAGTGAACGCAACACACTGTGTAGTAAGATTATACACAAGACCATTTTTGTTCGCAATTCAATGTAGACTATCTATATCTATGTATACAACACTTGTTCCACTAAACCGCGTAGTTTTCTAAATATTTAAGAAAAAATGAGAAAATAACTCCTTTTCCAATTTTCTCCTCTCCCCCTCCCAAATTTTTATTTAAAATTGTGTCGTGGGTGTTTCATTTGAAAAAAGGTTTGAAGTTATTAATTGGTCTTTAGTTTTAAAGCACCCTGTAGAAAGGCGATAAAAAATGTTGCAAATCTTCAGATTTAAAATATCAATGATAGTCTGAATATTTTTAGGTGACGGTTTGTGTGACAGTCTGCCTACAAAATTGAAGCATCTACACTACTTCCAGAAAGTACCATTTTGGCCATTCCATACTAAGGTTATTTGTTTGCATTGCCACCACGTCATGCATATAGCACGTGTCGCAAATCAAGCAAAAGAACAAACGAATATAAATAGGGTTGTTTAACTGGTAACGTTAGTGGGGCGTCAGATAAAGAATGTTGAAGTTTGTGGTTGCTGAAATTAATTTTGGAATAAAGGGTAGTTTGATCACAAGATCATACTCTCTTTTTCCCATGTCATCGTTTTAATTCTATAGAAACTCCATATTTATTTACTATTGAAACGTAGGTAATTCTTCTTACCTAATTCATTTATTAAAACATTTAATCCTGCATGGAGGAAGTAAACAGATTAAAAAATCACTAACCTTTGAACAAACTTTGAAGGCATGGTGGGTGAGGAATTGCGGTATCTTTGTAGAGGATCAATGGCCAAATAACTTGGTCAACGCCAAAAAACGACTACACTGTAATAAGTTATACCTACCATTATTTGATCGTCTTACTGTAATTATTTCAAGTAAGTAGAAGAAATATCTCTTCCGTGTTCGATGAAGCATTGCCAAAGATTTACTTTCATTAATTCGTGGCTTGTTCAGTGTAGATCCGACAGGACAACTGGTAAATTTAATGTTTGCGTGGTGTCGGGATTTACGTAACATTTGAAATTACATCGTTAATGAGCACTTGCACGGAAGGCAAACGACGAATTGTAATTTACGCTACAAACGTATCTGTAGAAACAAGATAATGAATTGTGAAAAGTCAAATATCGACTCAATAGATTAAAAGAGATTAGTGGTTGCAATGTGCCTTTTAGAATTGAGTGATCTCTTTTCCACTCATTAGCCATAAAAGTTGCTATTCGATTACGTATTAGCTTTCTCTTCAGTTTATTGTTATAGCCCTATCCCAGCTATCTACAAAATGTTAATGAGAATGTAATCTATCTATTCCACCTGAATTATTTACCCTTTATTGAGGAATATCTGAAGGTTACTATACGCTACACATATATACGGGATTCATCATTGAATTGATTGGGCAATTAAAATTTTTAGAAAACTGAGGAAAATTGCTGAGCCGTCTTTCCACCCTAAAACTGTCAGGTGCATAAAAAGCAGTTGAGATTCTTCATTAAGAGCTTCTGGTTGATTTGATGAAACGAACACTATTCATTCGCAATAGAAATCCAATACTACTGTTTCGGTGTGAAATCTAGACCGGGCCGTCTTGGTTCGGACCCGTTTTGCTCCAAAAGGCGTAAGCCAAGTATGCCTCTTTAACTCCACCGTTATCGGCGATATTTTCTCCTTGGGTGTGATGCCATTTACCTAATAAATCAGTAAAACTATAAGAAAACTAATAAGAACATTTTTTTTCCGATTTGATCTGAGACAATTTTTTTTCGGGCCTCAAAAAAGGCAGTGTATAACCTTCCTTTTTTACCAAAAATCGACATCACCAAAATTTCTCGGGAAAACACTTTTTCTTATTAATTTTGGTGCGTAGAATCCAAAACAATTCGTACTTTTTCGATCAGACTTCTCAATCAAAAGTTATAGATTAGAAACCAATTTCGAAAGAAAATTCAAAGGGCTGTAACTTTTGAACTAGTAGCCCAATCTTGGAACTGTTTGAAATTATGGATTCTACAGGCCACATTTTATAAGAAAATTTTTTTTCCGGGTCGATCTGAGACAATTTTTTTTGCGGGCCTCAAAAAAAGGCAGTGTATAACCTTCCTTTTTTACCAAAAATCTACTGCACCAAAATTTCTCGGGAAAACACTTTTTCTTATTAATTTTGGTGCGTAGAATCCAAAACAATTCGTACTTTTTCGATCAGACTTCTCAATCAAAAGTTATAGACTAGAAACCTCGCTAGAAACCAATTTCAAAAGAAAATTCAAATGGCTGTAACTTTTGAACTAGTAGCCCAATCTTGGAACTGTTTGAAATTATGGATTCTACAGGTCGCATTCTATAAGAAAATTTTTTTTCCGGTTTGATCTGAAACAATTTTTTTTTCGGGCCTCAAAAAAGGCAGTGTATAATAACCTTCCTTTTTTACCAAAAATCGACTGCGCCAAAATTTTTCGGGAAAACACTTTTTCTTATTAATTTTGGTGCGTAGAATCCAAAACAAATCGTACTTTTTCGATCAGACTTCTCAATCAAAAGTTATAGATTAGAAACCACTTTCGAAAAAAAATTCAAATGGCTGTCTTTTGAACTTTTGGAACTGTTTGAAATTATGGATTCTACAGGCCACATTCTATAAGAAAATTTTTTTTCCGGTTTGATCTGAGACAATTTTTTTTTCGGGCCTCAAAAAAATTTTTTTTTTATTCTATAGAACTAATAAGGATAAATAAATCGGATTGATGAACAAGTGTTGCACTCGTCGAAATTCAAAAGATTTATAATAAACTTTATAATACCACTATGCGGGCGCTAGTTGTATGGAATACAGATGAGTTTTTTTAGTAGGAAATTTAAAGCGGCCTTAAAATAAAGTTAGTACTACTATAATAAAATGGTTTATTAACCTAGAATAGGCTTTCATTGGCTCATTCCCATTAATCAATGTTTATCGGTGAACATTTAATGAAAACGATACGGTACGATTGAAGTTAAGCTTAATCGACCATGATCAACATGAAAGCTGAATGCCAGTGGTGTAACAAAAAGTATAAACGAATTTATATAAAATGTTTTGCATGCCAACATTTTTCTAATGAGTATCCTAACATATTAGTTGACTTACGCGAATATTGTTAGTGTATTTTATAGGAAACAACCTTTCTAACCATTTCTTGCCATACGACTAAGAGGTATGTATAAATTTTGTACCACAATGTTATCATCCCTATGACTTAAATTGAAAGATACTCCTTGAATTTTAACCAATCGATTCTCTTTCTTCCAAGTACGTCCGGCTTCGATTTTATCTTGGCTAGTTTTCATTTGTTGCATTAATTGCAGTAGTTGTTTCTGGTCACTACTGACATAAACCTTCACTAATTGTTAACTAAACACAATCCCATTTCTGCCACCAGTTTAACGTAAATTTAATTACGTCGTCGTATTTATTTACAAATAATTAAGTCTTAAAGTGGATTAACTTATGGCAGTACTTATTACTTATCACTCACTATTTATAACATAACTCAAGCTCATCGAAGTTGAAACCGTCCTGAAACGTATTTAGTTTGCTTATTTAGCAAACGCCCCCTCTATTCTGAAAGATCTCGAGCGCTTCCGAAGGAATCCCGACTATTCTAAAAAATTCTAAAACAAACACGTCATACTTTTCGGAAGGAATACGTCACATCAGCCTTCGTTAATTGGGCTACGAGTTCATTCTCGAAAAATAAAAAAAGAAACTTTTAAAAAGTTGATTAAAGTAAAGTTGTCTATATATGACTCGCCAAACCATTTATGTGTCAATGTGAAGAGGGGATTTAGAATGGGGCCGAAACTATGGGCCCTTTAAGCATTTTGTACACGTTTTTACACATTTTTGGCACTTTCAGTCTGTTTCAAATCGAGAGAAATATGAAATAGCTAAGCGCCTATGTTTTAGTATTATGTAGTTAAGTTGCCTGATCGTAGTTTTGCGTCAAGTAAAGGAAACAAACACAAATAAATCAGCATATGCATTACTAAAGCACATTTTTGCTAGTATACAGATCAGTATTTTATTAGAAAGTTCAAAACAATAAATCAAATCAAACTTCTATTAATAGCTTAGTAAAAATTTGATTTCTAATATTGTAATTGCCGAGATCTTTTTTTCCAAAAATGCACTAAAAAAATTATTTGCGAAAACGACATCCGGCGCGGAGTAATTAAATATTTCGACTAAATTTACTGCACATACATCTTCCTAACTTCTAATGTGTTACACCCAAGGATACACCCTAGTGTGCACTTATATCTATTAAAAACGCAGCGTACCTGGAGATAAAACTAATTTTGGTTCTACTTTAGCAATAGATCATCGTGAAGGAGAAGAATGAGTATGGAGACGTATCTAATTTTAAGTGTAGCTGTACATATTGTGGTAGTAGCTTCTGATATGGCTTCCAACCAAACGTGCTCAACTCCAGGTTGTAAGCGTGCAGCGTCGTGTGTTTGAAGTAATATGGACGCAAGTGTTGACCCATGCGATGACTTTTATCAATTCGCATGTGGCAAATTTATTAAGCAATCTGAAGGTTCATACTTTCAATTTACGGACAAATTTGTTAAAGAACAGTTACGTGTAATACTGGAAGAGAACGTCACATCGCAAGAACCACGACCGTTCAGAGTACTTAAGAAGATATACCAAGCATGCATGAATACAACCTCTATTGAATTAGATGGATTGACAACTATAAAATCAATTATAAAAGATCTAGGCGGATGGCCGGTGTTAAAAGGACGGAAGTGGAATCAGAAGAAATTTGATTGGAAACAGTCTGTTTACAAGTTTCGTAATTTCGGTTACAATTTCAATTATTTCATTACCGTTGGAACTATGAGTTACAAAGATACAGGAAATGTTTCATCGAATATGCTTTATGTAAGTGTAACACAGTAACTCTCGCTGATTCAGCTGTTCTTCAGATAGGGCCAGCAGACGTACCTCGTGGCGCACCAAGTGACCTCAAACAGTACCTTAATGAAATGGTGCAAGTTGCCACTGTCTTAGGTGCTAAAAAAAGTGTGGCTAAAAGAGAGCTTAATGAATCATTAGAATTCGAGCTCAATTTAAGTATGGTAATGCGCAGAGTGGTGCAGTGTTAAATTAATCGATTTAATTTTAACTCCGTTTATAGATGACAAGCCCCTTTCGAGAACAGAGAAACCTTAGTTTAGTGTACCATCGCATGTCTGTATCAGAATTACAACAAAAAGTTCCTAGTATTCCTTGGTTGGAGTACTTGAATTCAGTATTAAACGTTACCAACATTACCATTAAAGCCTCTCACGTAATTATATTGGTACATCCTAGCTACTTTCCACAATTTGAAAAATTGCTTAATAATACTCCAAAAAGGTTTAATAAGCCTGTCACTTATAAAAAAAAAGCTTTCTATTTCAGGCTACTGGCCAACTATCTTATGTGGAAAGCTGTCAAATTCTCAATACCTTCCGTTACAAAAAAGTTACTTCCGTGGTTAGATGAATACGAGTATTCAACTTTCAGGTGGTGGACATGTGTCAGTTTAACTTTAGAGAGGTTAGTAGCGACAATGTTTAAACGTATTTAACCTTGACGTAATTCCAATCAGTATGCCCATTGCTATCAGTGCTTCATATGTTCGGAAACATTTCCACGAAGATCTCAAACAACAAGTTATGGAAATGGTTTCCAACATCAAAAAAGAATTTGCCAACAATGTAAAAAGCGCCGACTGGATAGATGACGATACAAAGCTTCACGTTTTAGAAAAATTGGCAGCCATGTCGTCTTACGTTGGGTATCCGGACGAATTGCTCTCAGACAAAAAATTGGAAGACTATTATAAAGGGGTTGACAATAAGAGTGTGTGTTTCATTTTATGAATTAGTTTTTAGTTGCATGTGGAATCCGAGAACTTGCTAAAAATGGGATTGAGCACTCGACTCTTTGATTATGAGAATGCAGCTAAAAGTTTAGTATTGCCAGTGAATCAAATCAATTGGGTTAAATGGGGAGAACTAGCTATTTACGTCGGCGTACTCAATGACCTAAAAACAAACGAAATCGGTAAGTTACATTGCTGGCTGACATGCATCTTCAATTATCATTAAATTTGAAGTATTGCCTGCCGCTATATTGCAAGGCATCTTTTTTAGCAATGATAGGCCACACTATATGAACTACGGTGCAATAGGCTTCGCAATTGCAGAATTAATTACGCATGGATTCGATGATAAAGGTCGACAGTTTGATAAATATGGAAATTTGGAAGATTGGTGGGTACCATCTACAAAAGAAAAGTTCATAACAAAGGTCCAGTGCATGATTGATCAATATGGAAACTATTTCGTATCCGAATTGGGATTAAATGTATGTTGGTAACAAATCCTCGTGATATCAACTGATTTTTTGTTATTAATTGCGTTAGCTAAACGGCGTTAGGACGCAAGGAGATAATACAGCGAGCAATGGTGGTATGAAAAATGCATATTTAGCATACAATGAAAGGGTTCGCCTCAATGGAAAGGAACTACTTCTTCCCGGTCTCAACTACACCGATAGGCAATTATTTTGGATTTCGGCTGCGAATTCTTTGTGCGAAAATCAGAAACCGGATTCCGCGACAGGGCATTTTCTTAACAGTCAACTTCCTCGGAAATTTAGTATAAATGGGGCTCTAAGTAATACGGATTATTTCGCTAAAGATTTTAATTGCCGTGTAGGAAGCAAAATGAACCCTGTTAGTAAGTGCGAAGTTTGGAGGTCGTTGTGAGCCTTTTCATTAATTTAAGCGATTATTTTCGTAAGTGAAATAAATCATTCTTTACTTACAAGAACGCGTTGAACGATCTAGTTTTTAATGTAAATAAAATCAGGTTGTTTTTTTGTAAGTAAAAATAAAAGAAAAATATACATCATCCTTCGATTTTTCAAAAAAGAAAATAATCTATGCTAAAGGTTATAGTTTCTGTAAAACTGGATTAATCGGTACCTTATATAATTATTGTATGACTCAAATTTCAAGCCCCCAATTACACAGGGGACAATCGTCAAATAAAGTATGAACACGTATGAATCTATTTAGAAGGTAGTAATTGGTAAAAACGTCTCAAATACTAGTTCTGTATCTTTACAAAACAACTCACTTCTTATGACCCCTCTCAGATTGTTTAAAACTGTTTGTTGAAAGAGTGTTGAATGAAGGTGGACGTCCTTTTTTGCAAGGAATCGGAATAATAATAATAATAAAAGGTTAAGCATCTTGAATGACGATTTGGCCACTTTCTCTAAATGTATACTTTAATTTTGAATTATTGAATTAATTTTCCCATAATAATTACCGTTAGACGTAGAAATCCCATAATGAGTTCAGTGGGTAAATTTAAGATCCAACAAGCTAATTGGGAATTATTTACAAATAAGCTCACTCCTCCAACCTTAGATAGTTTAAATCTAAAAACGCTTACGTCTGCTATTTTAAACGCTGCGGATGCCAGTATTCCAAAATAAAAAAATGGGTTCCGTGATGGTCGTCTGAAATAAAAGAAAAAATATGATTAAAAAATTAAACCTTATATAGATCTAGATATAATCCTACATTGGACAATTTAATTGCTTTTAAGAAATGCCGATGGGAATGCCGCCAGAGGAACTCCTGGTATCAGTACGTGTCCACGATTATATCGGACCCTACCAGAAAATAAAGTGGAAAAAGGTAGGAGCTGTATCAGGTAAAATTGTTTGCAATTGTCTGACTTTCTTGCGAACTTCTGAGGGAAGAGTGAATAAATAAACGGATATCGAATATCATAGCAACTTCCTGAATATCCGGGTACGTTTCTACACACTAAAAGACACAGAAAATCCGTTACTATTAATGAAAATTTAAATTATCCGTTTATCTTGGAAAAGTTGAACATGATCGTCAGTGGCACCGGGAGAGGATGGCATCCATACCCAGATCCTTCGTTACTGTACTCCTGAAATGCAACAAAGTATAGTAAATTTCTTTGATATTTGTTGGAACAAACATGCTTACCCCTCGGAATGGAAACAGGCCGTTGTCGTCCCTATACCGAAACCAGAAAAAGATCCTTTGGTAGCACAAAATTACTGCCCAATTAGTTTGACATCTTGCTTAAGAAAATGGTTAACGTGCGGCTGCAAACGTTCCTTGAAAACAATAATGTATACGTACCTTATCAAACCGGATTTCGGAAAGGACGGGCACCGGTTGACCATTTGTTCAAGTTGACCGATAGAATTCTGAGGGCATTTGACAGTGGCAAGCATCTGGTTGGGGTTTTGTTGATATAAGGGGTACCTATGACATGAGTTGGAGATATGGAACATTGCAAAATTTGTTTAAATACAATCTCGGAGGGAATTTACTAAAATTTGTAAAAAGATTTTTAGAAAACAGGAAGGCGATGTCTTGTAACGAGTGGGCAATTTTGCGTAAATTTTTAACGCTTTTATTCCATAAAATTGCGGAAGTTAAATTCTAAAGGGTATATGTAGTTCAAGTTCACCTAGTCAGCCAAACAAATATTCGGTAATCCACGTTTAAGAACTTAAAACCTTCCCCATAACATTCAATTTATTCAAAAATTTGATGTTGAAAAATAAGGCTAAAATTGACAAGACTTGATCCATCCAATACTATCTAAAAATTCCAACGTTAAGATTTAGATAGTATTGGATGGGTCAAGTCTTGTCAATTTTTTCGGTCAGTCTACCCCTTTAAGGGGGCTGATCTTTAATTTGCCTTAGAAGTGTTCCCCTTCTGGGTTCTCTTCCGTTTAATTGTTGTACATGGATTTTGTTCCGTTACGTTCTATGCGTCTAAATGTAATCTAATAAATATTTTCCCATTAAAGTATTTAATTAGTATGGAAAAATAGGTTACTTAAACCTTTAAATTTTAGATAAAACTTGATTGATTGTTCCTTAATTTAATATTTCGGTTAGGCTTCCCTTCAGGAAGGCGGCTTTTAACTTGCGCGGTTGGAGTGTTCCCCGTCAGGGTTCATCTTCCGTTTCACTTGTTTATATCATGGACTTTGTACCGTTACCGGTAGTTTTAAGATTGTAAGTTTTGTCGCCATTTGGTTCTTATCAAATTTGTTAAAGCTGAACTTTTAGGGCCTGATGATGGCTTGTTAGCCGAAACATGTCGCCTTAGCCTTATTTTTCAACATCAAATTTGAATAAATTGAATATTATGGGGAAGGTTTTAAGTTCTTAAACGTCGATTATCATTGCACCCCATTTCGAGTTAGAGAAGGAAAAATGTATACCCAAAGAAATATTCGGTAAATCATATTCATTTATCTATATTGTCGATTTAAGTTCATCGAGTTTTAATTTGTCATATCTATTAGGACATACAGGAGACTTCTTTGTTTACTAATAGCTAGGCGACAGGAACTCGCGTCTGGTTCTCACTTAACATACATTTTAATGACCCGTTTAGGTTACAGATACCCCTGCTAACATCTTTGCTGGCCCCGAAATAGGCTTGAATTTTTTAATAAGCAATTTTCATCAACCAATTACAGGATGAAACTCCTATGCCATTTTTAATCATTTGCACGAAGGTGCATGATTTGTCATTAATATTGAGTAGAGGGGATCATTTTTTGGTTAAGAAAAGGGATTCTATTCTATTCTTAAATTACGGTTTGGACTGGATGTTGTCATTTCACTCAACGAAACCAAGTGCATTCTATGTAAAAAAATCCGCTGAATTCAAAAATCATAGCCCCCCTGGGCGGAAACTGCCGGAACACATTGCTAGAAACAAAAAACGACAACTAAGAAAAATTCATCCGATCTTTTTAAAAATCCATATTTGGTCACTTCTTTTTCCAGGGCTCCAGGGTTGACAAGTAGTGCGCAGTGCATTTTGTGGAAAATTGTCGTTGTTCATGGAAAGTGTTTATTGTGTAATTATGTGAAGTGCGATGGTGGGAATACGTTTCAGTGAGGACACGTTCGAGGAGGGAGTTGTGTTCACTGAAATACAGGGACGAAGTTCTGTTGTATGTTTCACGGGGATACAGTGACAGAAATGCGGACACTCAGAGTGAGAGGCTAAGAATCATCCTGACAGCAGTTCGCCTTCTTGGTCGGACATACTGTCTAAATCATACGAGACTTATGGTCGATTCTCACATGACGACGTGTCGCAACCCGCAGCTGCATACAATGCTTTTGGAACCGGGAACCGTTTGATTTGTGACGCGTCGCGCCGCTTAGTGAGAACTTTTGGAAGCAACATTTTGCCGCTTCGCGTCGCGTTGCGATGCGTCGCCAAGTGAGAATCGACAAATATTGTTATCCATCTGTGCCAGACATGTCAAGAGGTGGACAGAACTCTTGCAATCCAAAAGCAAGAAAGGGCATGTGAATAAACAGAGAAAGGCAGTTGTCATTTAAGAACACTGAAGAATAAATCTGAAATGTCAGATGTCAAAAATTTGATCGAATGAAAGAAATTGCGTGATTTACTTGAAATTCCACTTTTTCCAGGATATCCCGGCTATCCCACTAGGGAGGTAGTACAACTTTTTTGAGCGTCATCTTGGAAGGTCTCTGAACATATCTATTCAAAAAGATCCCGCTTAGTAATTATGAATGTCCGCGTAAAATTTTGCATAAACTTGAAAGATTTATAATATGTAGATTTCAAAAATGCAATAAAATACAGGGCGTTCTATTTAAAATAAGAAAGTTGCTACCCACATCCGATAAAACCGGAATTGGAACGATCATAATAAATAATAATAAATAAATAATTTTTTCTCTGTGGCGCGATGGGAATTTCCTTAGATCTGTTTCGAGCATTCTGCCGGCTACTTCGAATTAGGTTTTCCTGCAGTTTTCCTAATTGGTAAGATAAATACTGGAGTAGTATAGAACAGTGTTTCTCGACCTTTTTTTGCTGGTGGCCTACTTGTGAATGTTATTTATTTCTGTGAGCCCCCTCCACGTTAGACCTGGGGGGTATGGAACCCCCCCCCCCCCCTAGGGAGGTGGGGTCATACCCCTTTCTCAGGCTGCACAAAAATGTATAGAATATAGGCCATTACATGCGGCTTTTCAATATTTTAAACACTTTAGAATTAGATCAAGATTAATTTGAGTTATTTTTAGTTATCAAGAAACCATTTTCAAGCTCATTTTGTTTTGACGCTGAAATTCTTTTAAACCAGTTTGCCAAATTCTTGACAGAACAGCTTCCTACCTCAATCAAAAAATAATAAATTTAGACAAAAACGTTTCCCACGAAAGCTTATTATTTTCCGATGTAGAATAAGAACATTCTTTCCTAAATACGAAATTCGCGTGGCGTTTGCATCTTTTTTTGTGTGCTCTTTTTGTAAAAAAATCTCTTTTTTCTTTAAATTTTGCTCATGTTGGTCTATTGATTTTAGATTTTATTAATAATAATTGTAATTTCTAAATAGAATTAATTTAGTCTTGCCGAAAAAAAATATTTTAGTTTTTTAACTTTGAAATTTTTTTTCTGTTTCTTTTGTAATAAAACCTGGCACAATTTCTAGAGGTTGTACACTGAAAAATAAGGTCTTTCGAATAACGTAATAAAAATGTTCGATGCCGTTGCGGCGCTCAAACATTTTTTTTCAAAAATCCGGCTCGTTATTTTTCGATTCAGGGACAATAAATAGATATAACTAAATAGCAGGTCTCACAGATCAATCAAAAAGACAAACGAATATAAATAGGGTTGTTTAAGTGTCAAGTGTGGCGCGGTTAATTCTAAAATAAAGCGTAGTTTTATTATAAGATTATACTTTCTGTTTCCATGTCGCGTGAAAAATTTTTAATTATATAGCAGCTACAGATCGATCTACTATTGAAACGTATTTTTTATTTAATTCATCTACTAAAACATTTAACTCTGCACGCAGGAAGTAAACTAAATAAAAGATTACGAACCTTTGAACAAACTTTGAAGATATGGTGGGTGAAAAATTGGGATACCTTTGTAGAGGGTGGAAATTCATTCCAAATAGACAAAAACAAGGATCAATGGCCTAATAACTTGATCAACTCCTTAAAACGACTACACTGTAATGAGTTATTCCGTTATTCGTTCGTCTTACTGTAATTATTTCAAGTAAGTAGAAGAAATATCTCTTCCGTGTTCGATGAAGCATTGCCAAAGATTTACTTTCATTAATTCACTGCTTGTTCAGTGTAGATCAGGCAGGGCAATGAATAAATTGAATGTTTGACTTACGTAACATTTGAAATTACATCGTTAAGGAAGGCAAACAACGAATTGTAATAACGTTTTTGTGAAAACAAGATCGTAAAGAGTGAAAAATCAAACACCAACACAACAGCTTATGAGATTACTGGTTGCAATGTAGTACCTTTGGCAAAAGCTTGGATATTTTCTAAATCAAGCGTCTCTTTACTTTATTGTTGTTCATGTCCCAGATATCTACAAAATGTTAATAACAATATATAAGTCGAGTTAGTTAAACTTGATTAAGGATCACCATACGCTACACTTATGTATGGGATTCATTTTTGAATTGATTGGACAATTAAAATCTTTTGAAAACTGAGGAGAATTGCTGAGCGGTCCTTCCACCCTAAAATTGTCAGGTGCATGAAAAGCAGTTGAAATTCTCATTTTAAGAGCTTCTGGTCGATGCAAAGAACACCATACATTTGCAGTAGAAATCCAAAACATCTGTTCGGGTGTGTAATCTAGACCGGGCAGTCTTGGTTCGGACCCGTGACGCTTAACCCAAGAGGCGTAAGTCAAGTATGCCTCTTTAACTCCACCGTTATCGGCGATATTTTCTCCCTGTGTGTTGATGCCATTCACCTAAAATCAGTAACATGCATGGTTAGATTTTGTTGCATTTAGTTTCGTTATTACAGTGGAGAACTTCTCCTAAGGGATGTCATAAATATGTTTCCTGTTGGCCTAGTCAATTGAAAGCGATGAAACTAAGGTGAGGTAAGTGATATATAATAGCAAACAAATTCAAATTAATTCATGTCGATTCAGAAATCACGTTAATTCAAGTTAATTCACATTAATTCTCGTTAATTCAATTTAATTCACGTTAATTCTAATTAATTCACGTTAATTCAAATTCATTCAAATGGGTGTACACCAAAAATTCAAAGTTGTTTCTCCCTAGAAGGTGACCTTCAAAAGTAAACCCTCAGGGATAGCTCGAGATTGTTGCAAGCTTGCGAAAATTCTCGAAGCTGGCTTGAACATAGTTCTAAAATCTCTGAAATACTATAGAAAGTTGCTCAAAATTTTCTTGAACCAGGTCAAACCGTGAACACAATCGAGGTAAATATATAAATTTGAAAAAGTTGCTTTTGAAGAACATACGGAAGGAGAAGTGTTTAATAGGGAAACTAATGCTGTGGGAATTTGTGTTAATGAGCATTTCCCTTGTTTCCCAGTGGGCAGCGATTTGTGAAACTTGGGTCTTTAAAGCACGCATAACGAGTTTAAAGGTGCTTTTAAAGGTTGCAAGTGCTTTAAAGACCAATTGTACACGCGTCTTATAGTATTTTTTTTATTATACCTGCAATATAATTTAAAAATAAAGGAAATAAAATTAGATGATATTGACTAACTCGAATACATCTCTAATTAAGTGCTCTGATTATGCGTAATACCATGATTGCCAAGGAAATGTCACTTGACGTTTGGTTAAAAAAATCCCCGCCTTTGTAAATAAAACAACTTCGGTTGAAGAAGATGTGTAATTTCCGTCAAAAGAATGGTCATTTTTTTCCCCGCTGCAATACCTCCGTAACGAACGTGCGGGTGGTAAAAAGGAAACAAATCGCTAATTGGTGGGCATATTGTTACAATAAAATCCAAAATGTTTGTTTTTTAACATACACTTACATGTAATCCCACTTCTGGTACGGTATAGTTTGTGTACTGATCAATTATGCATTGCGCTTTCTTCATAAACGCCGCTTTTGTTGAGGGTGCCCACCAGTCGACCAAATTTCCATCTTTATCAAATTGTCGACCTTGGTCATCGAACCCATGAGTAATTTCATGCCCGATGGCAAAACCAATACCACCGTAATTCATATATTGCGGTCTATCATTTGAGAAGAAAACCCCTTGTAATATTCCAGCGGGAACTTCTGCTTAACAAACAATCGTTTCTTTAGGAACTTGAACCGTAAATAAAACGTACGTATACTATTGTGGGGTGTAGAATAATACGCGTTGACAACAGCAGGTCTTCCGATGACCATCCAATCTTGTTTTTTAACTGGTTCGGTAAACTTTTTGTACGCGGAATCAATTCCAAACAAAGTAAGACTTAACATAACCTTTAGGAATTTATCTGATGACAAATCCAGCTGAAATGTAATTAGAGAACACAAAACTTAGGCCTATTTTACACTGACCCCTTCAAAAACACGTTCCAGTTTTTTATCCGAAAGTAACTCATCGGGATATGCAACGTGAGCTGTTACCGCAGCCGCCTTTTCCAATGCGTACCCTCTGGTAGCGTTATCCATCCAATCGATCTCTTTGAGTATATTAATAAATTCTTCCTTGATATCGGACGCTATTTCCTTCGCCTTCTGTTTGGCATCTTTGGGGAAGTATTTGCGAATGTATAAAGCACCCACCGCGACTGACAAACTATAAATTACACTTGATGGTGACTGCACAAGACCAGCCACCTACCTGTTTGACACAATATCTGTACATTCCTTCCACCTGGGCCCTAGTTCGGTACGTCCATTCAAAAGTTTGGTATATTGCAGCTGCCGCTGTCGCAATTGGTCTGTGAGATGAGTTACTGATGAATACACGGCTCCCCACATTACGTAGTTTGCCTGAATTCTGTCAAAGATGTTAGCATATCACAAAGATTTACCCTAACCTTTTAGGTGTGCTGCTAAGTAACTTCTCCAACTTTGAAATGTAACCAGGAACAGAAACTATTATTACGTCGGAGCTTTTAATTGGAATACTCGGGATGTTCATTGCGGAATTGAGGTACTCTAACCATGGAATACTGGGAAACTTAACTTGAAGGTCGTGCACAGACATGGGATTGTATAGTAGACTGTAATTTCTGCGATCTTCGGGCGAAAGTGAAATCTAAGTGTAAAATGTTTAGTTATGAATCATTGGGGAAAATGTGCATTTTACGTTAGACAGTTGTATTTCAAAGTCTAAAGAATCTTTGAGTTCGGATTTGGCAATCTCTCTATTAGCACCGAACATAACGGCAATGTCAACCATATAATCATAATAGGCTCGAACTAGACCATCCTCAAGTCCTTTACTGAAGTATTCCTTTGCCAATAACAACTCCGCTTGATCTATCTGCAACAAGCTCATGAAATAATAAAAATTGCATTGTTATAGTTACCTGAATTACTCGCAATGTAGAGTTCTTGTAGTCAATTGAAACAGAAAACTTGAGAAAGAAGTCGATACTGTAACCGGTTTTTCGAAATTTATAAACGGACTTTGTCCATTCAAATTTCGATTGGTCCCATTGTCCTTCTATCACTGGCCATCCGCCTAAATCTTGTAGGACAGCTTTCATTGTGGTTAAACCGTCTAGTTCAATTGCGGTAGTATTCATGCACGAACTGTAGAGCCTTTTAAGTTGCACGAACGGTCCGGGCTCCTCTGGTTCAACGGGCTCTCCTATCATTGTTCTTAATTGTACTTGAAGCAAATCGCTTAGAAGGTTAAATGATGTAACAAACGATTTGTCGTCTGGAATTTTCGTTCTCTTGATGAAATTGCCGCATGCAAATTTATAAAAATCGTCGCAAGGATCGATGTTTGGATCCATATTGGATAAGACGTCCGCCGCCGTACGATTACAACCTGCTGTCATACATACGTTGTTGGAGTCGTGAGTCGATGCTCTATTGGTCCTAACTGGCAGGTTACCTTGTAATTTACTTTGGATAAAGGTTTCATTCAAGTGCGACGTACCTGTCGACTTGATTCTGGTAAGGATGGAGGTTACCAAAACAACTACCAACGCAACTGCGATTAGGACAGCAATTGTGGAAACTAATGCAAGCCATCTTTCCGTGGTTGTTCGTCTTTTCCACCATGATGTGGGTCTAAAAAGACAATTGCTTATTTCCAGTTCGTTATTTCAGAAGAAACTTCTGGAAGATCGCACGCTAGAGACCGAATTCTTTATTTGAAGGTCACTCACAAGTACCATCATACTTCAAAAAATTGGCAATCAAGAAGTAAAAGATGGTAAACAGACATTTTGCTTTGAAAGATACACATGCAGTGGTAAATGGCAAAAACTAAATTTCGCAAATTGCAGAATGAATTATTTTGTTCATTTTTTATTTAAGAAAAAATGTTCTAGCGTGACGGCGAAAGAAAATTTATGGAATGTCAACTTACTTGACCGGTTCCTGATCCTTGGATCCCATTTTGTCCGACACAAAACACGAGTAGGTACCAATATCACAAAGTACCTTTAAGAATTTCTGTAGTAACAGAAATGAGCTAGATGTTCTTTATATAGTGTAATCCCGTTCCCCACCCCCATAGCTCTCGAGTGCAATGTCAGGCGAAAAAAACTAGAAGCCCAATTTATTATTGCAAATTTGTAATTTTTCGCCCAATTCTTTACAAATTTTCTTGGCTCATATGCAATTACATTTATTTTCAGTAAGGTAACAACATCCTTGGCGAACGTGAGATAAACATGTTTGATCAACTTTGACGAAATTTATAAAAATATTTACAGGAGGATTAGTGGCATAGGATGAAGCCTTTTCTCTAAAAACTTATTATTTTCTACTAGGATTAATAACAAAGAAATTGTCATAAAAATGTAAATATTGCTATTTTCGATTAAATTTATGTTACTTAATCCGATAGAATGCATCTGCTGCACAGATGAACACAAGCTGTACACTTAAACGAGTTATGTGCACTTTGCATCGTTGCAAAATAGTTTTTTGTCTACTTTAAAGTTTAAACTATTTTGCGCTTAACAGTAATTTAATAACAAACATTCCTGCTCCTTGCTCCTGCCGGTTGGGTGTATGAATCACAAGCAAATACTAGAAAGTGATCTGTGGAAATTACACCTTTCTTGCACTAAACAGCTATCATTGATATAATTTGGTTACCTGGAAGTAAACAGTATAACTAACCCTTTGTTGGTAGTAAAACGTTAAATTTGTTGAATATGAACTGGCCATTGTACACGTCGATTCCCAGCGTCGAAAAGAAAACGTACCACTAGAGCTCTAAACTTTGAAAGAGTAATGCACTTACAAAGATCCATCAGAAGGAATTATTAAAAAGTATGTATAGCGTAATAAAATCAAAATTCCCCCCCCCCCCCTTCTAGAGCCATCGCCAAGAAAGTGAACTTCAGATACCATCCCTAAAAATTCGCGGACCGGATTTTAGATTTGAGTAGGTAATACTTTCCGAATAGGCGCAGTTCCTAAAGAATTCATATTTCGTTGTCCACTTAAACCTTAGGTAACTAAAAAGTATTACATTATGGATTGAACATTGAACAAGGAGACTATACTCGTAAATTATAATTTCCTGTTTTAGTTTTAATGTCACCCCAATATCTTTTTTATTTGGCGAGAGACGAAAATTTTATATGGGACATTACAATCTGTCTGAGCGCATAGTGAAACTTCCGGTATCCACTTCCGGTTTATCCGGAAATTAATACAACTTTAGTTTTTCAAATGCAATGTCTATGTCTATATTTGAGAGGAGCGCAATCAATTTGCTGTACCACAACATATGATATGAAGGATTAAGTGAAGGGAAGAATAAATTGAGGCCAAAGGGTATTAGAGGAGTTTACGAATAGGAGAACAACTTAGGACGAGAGTGTAACCAGAGCATTTTATCGAGTTAATTTTTTGCGATTTTTTTCGCTGAATTACGCGAAAATAGAAATTTTTAAGTTGCAAAAGTGTCAAGGTTCTGGGAACATTCCCCCAAACAAATACTGTTCATGGTAGTTTCAAGTTTGTATTTTGTCGATTGTAATAAAAGTGGGCGTTCGTCAACTTCCCACATCTATCAATGAGTTAATTGTTTCAAATGTTACAAAATTTGAAAGCCCGGATTATTTTGCGCAAAATTCTTCATTCGTCTTTTGTTAGTCGACCTTATCAGAAATTGGTCTAGGTAAATGTGCGTGTAGAGGGTCAATGAGAATGGATTCGCAATCTAAGAGTGAAGCCGGAAAAAAAGTAGGGTCTTAGAAGATTCGTTTTCTGTAAACGTAAAAAGTCTAACTTTGTGTATCGGACTGTACGAGTTAAAAAATGTGCAATCGTGCAGTATTCATTAAATAAAAGACTCCGTTCGCGAATATAAATAAGCCTAAGCTTAGAAAACAAAACCTGCCATACAAGATGAAAACTTTCAAGTTTGGGGAGGAAGTATAACTAACTTATTTTCTCGGAAGGAATTACAAATTAACCAAGTAAAATTAAGTAAATAAAAATTCATTGTTAGAGCCGTTACCACAAAAGGCGAATTTAGTGCAACCGCTTAGACAAGAGATAACAAGTTAAAAAGTAATCGTAAACGATTTACATAAAGCGCATTTCCACTTGCATTCATTTTCCATTTGTAAGATGCAACTTCTGTTAAAATCGTAAAAATCCGGCCACAAATATGAAAGATAGCGTTGCACATGAGCAATCCATTTTGGACATGCTATTTAAATTTCATTTTATAAGAAGAATTTCATTCCAATGCTTTTCTAAATAAGAAAGTTGGAACTGCGCATGCGCAAACCTAAATTTTAAAACTAATGTTAGATTTTCCTTTGTTCCAAGCGCCAAAGTATCAAATTTCACTTAAATGCTTCCATAGATAAAAAAGTTGGCACTGCGCATGCGCAAAATAAAATTTTGAAACTGGCGCTTTATTTCAAGTGCCTATGTATCAAATTTCATTCAAATACTTTTATAAAAAAAAAGTTTGCAATTCGGTTTATAAATGGTCGAGATGCGAAAAGGGCACTGTGAATTTTGAATCGATTCGACTCAACTTTTGGCATTGCGTATTATATGGCTAAGGCTATGCCCATATTGAATTTCATGCAATTCAGTTCATAACTAACGGAGATGTAAAAGCGATCGGACATTTCTAAACAAAATTATCGTTCAGATAGACAGATAGAGGGACAGACAGGCAAAGAAACAGACGGACAGACCAACAGACAGACGACAGACAACAATACAAAATTATAAATGATCTCTAGGATGGTTAATAAACGGCAAAAGTGTAAAATTATGGAACATGTAAAAAACGTTTTGTTGGTTTTTTTACAATAACTTTTTTAGCAATAAACGCAGAAAAAATTCCTTCCTTGGTGCAAGCCTCGACACCATAACGAACCAAATAGCGAAAAAAGTAGAACAATAGCTCTTAAGATAAAGAACTAGTAGCGTCGCAAAACGAGCGGACGGACGGACGGACGGACGGACAAAGTGGCCACAATAGCGAATTTTTTTTTATTTTTGTGGAAATGCGCTAAAAAAATTAAACAATTATTCAAGTTAAGTAAATATGAATCCGTAAGCAAAACGCAATGTTGGACCAGATTTGCAGTTCTCTTATAAACCATGTGATTTCAACTCAGAATAAAAGGATGGACATGTGCATAAACGACAAGAATTGTAAACGAAGGCTAGTCGTATTTATTTATTTCGCCAAGTTTATTGGATACTCTTATAAGATCCGTTATCAAAAGAAATCATAATCTGTAGAATATTAGAAGGTAAAATTTTACGTAAAGGATCTAAAAGGATTCAAATAATTTTCGTGGAATCAAAAAAAATTTTGCAATTTTTTGTATTGAATGTAACCAAATTCAATAGTTTGCTTATTACCTATTTTGTCATGTTAATAACGAATGAAAATTTGGTTAGGGTGTAAATATATGTAATTGTATTAGTCGAATTCAAATTAAAAAATTAAGGTATTTAGAGTTAAAAAACGAGATGGTTTTTAAAGTAAATTTTATTATCCAGATGGTAACACCTATAAATAGAAGTGAATGAAATTTCAATGTAAAAGGAATATGCATCCAGAACTGCTGCAAAATGTCACCCACGAGTGCGTAAGGAAGCAAGAGCTTCGTAGGAATTAATAGACGCTTAAAAAAGAAGTTGCGATAGAGAGCTACTTAATTAAAGTAGGTAATTGAGAAACGCTTAACGGGGAGGGAATTTGAGAACTTCAGCTAAACTTTAGAGGAACTTCAGAAGAGCTTATTATAAAGTTTTCTTGGAGATTAGACCTGGAAGCAGTGCATCTTACCAAAAAACTGTGCTTTTATTCATTTTTTTTTAGCTGATGATCCAACTCTTGCGAACTGTTACCGGCAAACTTATTCTTAATAATTGGAGGGCTTGCTTTTTGTTAGATCTGTTACTCAAGATTACTTATTGTACTGCAGCTTAATGTTATGGTGAAAATAGAAGCGAGTGGTTTAGGAAAGCTAAGTGCATGTAATAGACGCCTTTCGTGAGATAAGATGTTCGGGTTCAAAAGGCACATTAGACTTACCTATATTCAACACGCGTGGGAACCATTTTTCGTGTTTGTGGGGTTAGGAGTAGGTACCTGGAAAGTGTAACAAGAAATACAAGGAAAGAAATCTAAGAGTCTTACCCAAAAACTGATTAACCATTAATTAATTTCTGTCAAATCCAAAATCAACAATAATTTCAATCACTACCACGATGTTCGGGAAAGATTAAGCGTAAACGAAGCGAAAAATAGGGACTTCAGTGTATTTTGGCTTGTTGTGTTGACAAGTAGACCCACAAACACTGTTAGGGTTATTAATCAGGTTAAATACCGTGATGTTTACGTTGTTCCCTGCAGCCACCAGTTTGAATTGCGTAAGAAAAAGGCATATTTAGGTGTCGTAAGCAAATTGCATTTTTTGTATACCCTTACAGCCAAATAAACTCATATGAAATGTTACCTGGTAATTACAACACTATTGCGGAAATGCGCCATTTCATTAAATAACTTTTTCAACCCGTTTACGTACCAACTAGCTAATTTCCACTGTAAAATAGGCGAGGTAAGTTTCCATGCATCCATTATCCGTTGATACGTCAACATTTTCATGCTGGGATATCCGATTTATCACTTGTGATTATTCCAATGTATTGATGGATAATAGAAGCAGTATGGTCAAAATAAAACAATTGCTTATTACATAACCAGTTATGAAATGGTCCAGTTTGCTTAATGAGAAGAGGGGAGTCGAATTAAAACAAAAAAAAGTCTCATAACTTGTTGCGTACATAATTTTGCGAAATAAAGTTTGCTTAATCTTCTTTATTCACATTTAAAGTAGCTCATTAGATAAGCACATCCATTTAGAAAGCAAACCTCATATCCTGAAATCCTCCTACAGGTTGTGGTTACAATTAAACGGTTTAAACTAAAACGGACGAGTTGTGAAAGACCCCAATTTTTTGGTCTGGAATTGAGGTTCTGTGGAGATATTCAAGATTCTGGAAAACAATAGAATCTCTACACCTTTAAGCAAGCTATACTTTTGGCAGCTGGGTCTTGTACGATTATCTGTTGCTGTTCCAAAAGCCGATCCTTATCGCACTTACATTATTACGGTGCAAATTTTAGTTTTTTCACTAAACCTTGAATTCTGATTTTATTCCTAACTTTAAACATAAGCTACAAATACCTAATTAAATTAAAGGTACTCACCACTGTTGATTAGTCGCCTCTTACGACATGCAGTGTCACTGCAGTAGAAGTATTCTTTCCCGCCCCTACACGGGTAAAATCTAAACAAACTCGAAAGAAACAGATCACTGAAAAAAGAGTGAAAACCTTAAAACGAAAATAAAACCAATCTACGACCCCAACTGGGTTTCCGTTACAGCAAGTATTTACTTTCTTAATGCTTTTGTTATAAATTTGAGTTTCGATATTTTTTCTGTGAACTGTATATTGAATGCTTACTCTGCTTTTGTATAAAAGGAGTGTTGACAGAATATCGTCAAATGATTAACGTGTTTATTCATAAAATATAAAGTAAATTGATTCTAATCTTGATTTGGTGAATCATATTCGAAGTACATAGCGATAAAAAATGAGTGGCCATTGAAACACCTTTGGAATTTTTGAAGTTTAGACTCGAATTTCCACAGACGACTCGACAGTCATCTCGACGTCAAATAAATATGAAGACAGAATGCTTTGAGATCGTATTGTCATTGGGGTGCATGATAAAAAATTTCAATTAAAATTCTTAGATGGTCACGATGATACGCTTGAGAAGGTACTTTTGATGAATCGGTCAACCTTAATAAGATCATTTTGAATTCCAAGACTCCGGTAGTTGCAAGCATTGCAAATGAAAAGAAACCACCAATTGTTGGCGCAATACATTAATTTTATTTCAATTGTGGGAGACCGTGGAACCCAAAATATGATAATCTGTGTAAGGCGAAGGATGTTGTATGTTTAACATTTTGCTAAACTATGCCGTCAACGAGGAAAGAAGGCAAAAATTCAACCTAAAAAGGTTTTTAGTACCGAAATAGGTATAAGGACAACGAAATAGATAGTGTCACATGGGTTGATATTTCAGGTAATTTAGTTAGAAAAGTTAAGGAAGTAGGAAATAGTATATTGAAAGACAAGTGTTACAATGCGACCTATTGTAATACTTGTGGCACGAGTGGCGACGCGAAGCGTAGCCACGAGTGTCCGCAAGATAGGAGTATTACAATAAAGCATTGTAACACGCGTTTTTCATACTATTTTTTCTATTTCGGTGCTTTAATTTAATTTAAAAAAATCATTATCAGAAACATTAGAACTAACATGTTTTATGTTGGGAACACTTTTTATGCCGTTAAGTTTTAGGTTGGCAGCGTAGTAAGACTGACATTTTGAAGTTCAAACAGGGAAGTACCCAACGAAGTACCTACTTGTACTAACTAGTAACTGCCAACTTAAGAGATGAGTTACCAAAAAAAACGACTATAATCACTGTCTTTGTACAACTGTTTTCGGCCGAAAATAGTTGTACAAAATCATCATTGTGACACCGAAATAGAAAATAATAATTTTAAGTATTAGAATAAAATCATTTGGGCTAAATCTAAATGGATGAAGGAGAATCAAATTAAAAATGAAGTACCTAGTTAACTTTAAAATTGATACCGGTGCAGACGTCAATATTGCATTCCTTTTAATTTCGTTAACTAGTAAAAAATTAAAATTGACGATAAAGATAATTATTTCTCTGTATTTGATTATAGTACTAATAAAAATAAGGTTTTTGGTACTGTTAAGTTAAATTGCAGAGATTTAGGTTCTCATTTTGAACAGGAAGCATTATTTTTGGTTGTTGGTGATAAATTTGAACCGATTCTTGGAGTCCTAGTACGGATACCACAAGCATTACGGAACGATTAATAAATGAGCTTGAAGCAATTGTGCAAAATGAGATTATTTCACCTGTCGATTACCCAACTGATTGGGTAAACAATTTACAAATTTCGAATCTGTCTTGATCCAAAATAACTCAATGCCTGTATTAAACGTGAACACTTTTTGATACCGGCGATTGAAGATCTAACATCGGGTCTGGCTAATGCTTATGTTTTCACAGTAATTGATCTTAAAAGTGGGTTTTGGCACATGTTACCGGACTAAACAAGCTCAGAATTAACAACATTTAGGATACGGTTCGGTAGACAAATTTAATCGGGTACCTTTTGATCTTAATTGTGCACCGGAAATGTTTCAAAGGAAGATGATACAAATATTTGGGGATATTCCCGGTGTTTAGATATATTTTCATGATATTTTAGTTACTGCGCCAAATTCCGAAGATCACGAGAACATTTTGTCAAAAATAGGTAATGGAACGTGCGCGTAAAACAACGTCAAATTTAATTCTGATTAAATTCAATATCGCCAGAATTCCTTTAAATTTATGGGGAATGTTACATCGTATAATCAAATTGGACCGGGCAGCAAATACTTTGAAGCAATTTTAAGCATAAGATAAGGCGGACATATCGCGATTTCTTGGTGTACTCAAATATTTAGCTTGTTTTATTTCCAAATCTGTCTAAAATGACCGCTGGACTTAATGTTGAATTTCAATGGAATGAAACACATGAAAACGAATTCAAAGATTTACCTACAGAATGTTATTGTTTCTGAACCAGTCGTCTGTAATAATTCAAACGGATGCTTCTAAAGACGGACTAGGGTGTGTTGGTTCAAAACGGACATCCTATAGAATTTGCTGCTCGTACACTAACTAAGAGTGAGCAGAAGTGGGCTCAAATTGAAAAGGAACTCTTGGCTATATTGTTTTTGCCTGTCAACGTTTTCATTATCTTTTTACGGTCGTGAATTTATAGTAGGAAGCGATCTCAAACCTCTGGAAACATTGGTTAAATGTGATATAGATGATGTCACTATTCGTCTTCAACGAATGTTTATGTTTTTACTCCAATATCTGCAAATGACTATTGTTTACAAACCCGGAAAGGAAATGCTGGTCGATGACTGCTTATCGTGTGCACAATGACAGGAAGATCTTTCAGGGGTCATACATACAATTATCAAATCGGTTTGATTATCAGAAGATAATTTTAATTTTTATAGAAATGTTTTGAAAGACAATGAATATAATCGTATTTGTACGTTGCAAACGGTTGGCCGAGGTTTTTTAAGTCAATATTTTTATAAACTTATATCAAAGTTTCATGTTGAAAAAGGGTTACTATTCTTGGATCATGGACTTGTTATAGGTACCTACCAATTCAATTACAAAAGAAAAATAACAAAGTGGTTACCTACATGAGCCATACCTGGGAATCGAAAAAATTCTGGCTTGAGCTAGAAAAATGTATTATTGGCCTGGAATGTACGCACAACTCAAAGAAGCGATTCAGTCGTGCCCTGTTTGTGAAAAATTTCATAGGGATAATCAAAAAGAACCATTGATTTATGAAGAAACTCCGTTTTATGTGGTAGGCATGGATTTATTTGAATATGCCTTACATCCCAGTTGCATTGGATTGTTGGAGAGTATTAAGTGAACATTCAAATTATAAAAAGTATGTGTAAAAAGCAGTCGGGTACAAACTTATGATTTTAAACTAATTAGACACGGGATAATAAAGCATAAGAAACAATCCACAAAGTAATGTTAGCTGAAAAGGGTGAAGCTATCGCGTAGAATGTATTAAAACTTTGTTATGAGGCTAAGGATCTCAACTTATATCAATATAGAATTTTAATATACAATACGACTCCTTTAGCAAGCATGTGTGTACCTCCATCTTAATTATTTTTTGGAAGATTGGTCAAAACAAAACTGCCAGTATCGGAATCGTTAATTATATAAAAAATTTAACTGAAAAATTAGTACAAGATAAACTGAAAAGAAAAAGGCTTCACAAAAATATTATTATCGTCGCAATGCAAAATCATTACCGGTATTGAATGTAGGAAATTTAGTTATTTAAAAAATTATAGTAAAGAGTGGCATTATGGGAAAATAGTAGGAATAGTTAACAATTATAGTTATAGATAAAAGATTATATATAGTTAGGGACAATTTTAATTATCATTTTACTATTTTAGACGTAACAGACAATTCATTACCAAAACAAACAACAATGACTTTAATTCTAGCGATGTATTGTTAATTTAAAAAAATGTTAGGCAATTTGGTTATCAAAATATACCTAAAATGCTGCCACCAAAAGTTAGTAATTCAAATATTAGTGAGGAACATATTTCATGTAGGTACTAGCATTGTATTTAATAACAATGGTACTAGTAATAGTGAGCATTGTGATGCAGAGGAACCGGTAACAGAGAATACTGAATACGAACCATAAATGCTGCTATTATAGAACTCGAAGCTGTCGCAGAGTTAAATCCCAAGCAAGATATAACTACTGATGTTTATTGTTAAAAAAAATGCGTGTAGTAAGTAGTCAGGGAGAAATAATGTGGTAACCTAGAAACACGGTATTTATTGATTAGTAAGGTAGTGGAAGGAAGTAGTTAGTACTTAAATTAAACAAAAATAACGAGCTGTTTCGTTTGCTTTTAAAAAAACAAAAATCAAAAGAAGTTGCGTTTATTCCTATAGTCATTTTGTCAAAATACAAAAAAATGAACAAAAATTAGAGCACTTTGTTTAATATTTTAGCAAAATTTTTCAACAATCTATTAATATTTCTCATATTATCATCACCTTTAACGTTAACACTTCGCCAGGATTTTGACTTGAATTCATTTTTGCCTCCTCATGCTCATTTCAAAAACCGAGTAGGTAACCCCAAGGTGTCCTTCCGTCAATAATAATAAAGTATACTGCAAGGGAGAGAATTTTTGGACCTTGTCCTTGGGCCAACATGCCAAAAAGTAAAGAATATAATGACTGGATGTTAACTCCCGTTGCCATTCTCGGTCGTTGTCTTCGGGCATCGATTAAGCTGCGTTTTCACAAAATCCTATAATGTTTGCGTATAACGACTACCTAAAATGTAACTGATTAAAACATACAGGTACCTCCTTGGTTATCTTAAATTGAAGGGTAGGTAATGATTTCCTTTGAAAACATTCATATGTCCATTTTATTAATTTTGAATCACAAATATTCCTATTTCAATTATTTACACCAAACAGTGACGAAAAATACTGCCCTTAACAAAAGATCAACAAACATTTTGCTTACAGCTATTACACAGTTATCAACAACGTAAAAAATCTACAGTATAAAATTAATTTAAATTAGGATTCGAACATTAATTTCATTGGGATAAGTACAGTCTTCATGAAAAATTGTAATGAAACATAAATAGGTTAAGTAAAATGAGAGTAGTACAATGTTATCACAAATATTATAAAAAAAAATGGCACCAAAACTTTACCATACACTACATTTGTGCACAGGATTCATTTTGGAGCCACTCGGGCAATTGAAATCTTTCGAGAACTCGGCTAAGTTGCTAAGCGGTCCTAGTACTCTAAAATTCCCTGGCGAATGGTATCCGGTTAACACTCTTATTTTTAAAGCTTCCGGGCGATACACTGAACACCAAGTGTTTGCTGCGGAAATCCAAAACATTTGCTCAGAGGTAAAGTCTAAGCCAGGAAGCCTTTGTTCCGGACCATTTCGCTTAACCCACGAGTTATAGGCGAGGTACGACTCTTTTATTCCACCGTTATCAGCAATGTTTTCGCCCTGTGTGTTGATGCCATTTAACTAAAAGTAGTTTAACAAATTACTCTCACGTTCTCTAGATTCGCAATAATTTATTTAGGTACTTACGAAGTTTATAATTTAAAAAAACCGCTTTAGGTGCTTTTACATTGTAAAAATATACATTTATGTACAACAAACCTATTTTACTCATACATGGCGTTGAGGGTACGCAATGGATGAGTCATGAAAATAAGAGCGTACATAACAATAAGGTTTATAACCGAAACCTGTATAAAACCACCAAAGGTGCAAGTGCGGACCAATTTGTGCAAGTATACTACAAACGGCTGTGCAATTAAGTAGTGGTTCTAAAACTATCTAAAAGCTGGATCACGATATTATTTACAATTCAGGATACTTATCACTAACAAACAGTTGGGTATTTAGATCTCTACATACTTACATCAATAAAACAGATTAAGATATAAAAACCTATGTACAAAAGTCGTCAATTTAAATAAAAAGCAATAATTTCGATCACTACCAAAGACTACATTTACTGGCGGGATTCATTTTGCTTCCCTTAGGACAGTTGAAGTCCTTAGCAAAGTAATCCATATTTCCTAACGGTACGTTTACTCTAAATTTATCCGGCGAATGTCCATCAATAACGACAAGCTGCTTGATCTCTTCCAAACGCGTCTTTGAGCACCACACGTTCGCAGCCGAAATCCAAAACAACTGATGGCCGGTATAGTTTAGACCGGGCAGTCTAGGCTCTTTTCCATTTCGCTTAACCCACTTACTATACGCTACATAAGCCTCCTTTATACCACCGTTATCAGCTATATTTTCTCCCTGCGTGTTAATGCCATTCAACTGTAATAATTAGTAAAAAGGGGAGGCCCATTACTAGAGGTTCGTATAGTGCTGGAAATGGCACGAGTGATGATAATCAAAATGTATCGGATCAAGATCTGCGTAACCAATATAAAATAAAATGGCGTTTTACACGTGCTCTGGATTTTTGATTGCTCGTCTATGCCAAATTCCATTACAATATTGCTTCTCGTGTTGAAAGTTGATGTTGCGTTTCTTAGTATTTTACCGAGGAAGTTAAGGCGATGGCTCCAAATAGAAAAACGTAACCATATACATTATAAATTAAAGCTCTAAGTAAATATGTACCATTGTACCTACATTAGGAGCTACACGCGCAAATGTCCCGAAAGCTACTATTTTTCTTTATTTGACCAAGGAAATGTGAAAACTTGGACAAAATTTGGTATCAGAGATTATAATAATAACGAATGCAAACATTTTTACCACCTGCAAGTTAGTAATGGAGGTATTGTACTGGGATAAAACATGACCTCCCATTTTTTAAACGGAAATACACGTTTTGAAGCAGCAGGAAACCGAATCAAACAAAATTTCGATGATCTCGATCGGTCTGTCTGTCTGTACGCTCATTTCCGGGTAAACAACTGAACCGATTTGAACTAAATTTAGGTACACGTTACACGTATCCTTAAGACATAAAACGGCAGGTGTGCGAGTGGTTGGCGAGCCACAGCAAATTTTTAGCGCATTTTTAAGAATTAAAAAAAATTTGCTATTGTTTGCGTTTTATCCGACCGTCCGTCCGTTCGTCCGTCCAGGACCCACTTCTGTAGTTTCGAACTACTTCTAAGGAAATTGGTCCATGAGTCCTGGAATTTTTTGCAGTAGGTAGCCTATACCTTGAAGGTGTGCCAGACTGATCAAAGTACGGGGTGGAAGGGGAGGGGGGGGGAGTGGTACTAGTTTTATCCTTCATGGTACTCCTATGAAAGGAATGAATTTCTACCAACCATAGCCCTCCTCCTCAACCTCTTATCGTGATCGCGTACATTCCGTTATACCTCAAGAACGGATTTTCGGAAAAGGGTACTCACAAAGTGCGATTGAGATGTCTGCAAGAAATATATCCATTGGTGATGTCAAAACAAAAGCTATTTGGGTTAAAAAAATGCGCTTTATCTGCACAAGAGTTGTGCACAATTTGTACTTGTTTACTATTGCACACATGAGAAATACGCCTTATGGATGCGCTGTCATCTTTCCGTAGGAATTATGGACAGAAGAAATGCAAATATTGATACTTTTTCGAATTTGTACCCCTTTAGGGGTTGAGCATAACTTTTGGTGCCCTAAAAACTTTGGAATTTTCGGATTTTCTTCAGTTTTTCGCTAATAACTAAACAACGCATCTTAGCAAAAACCTTACAGACATATTAAAGAGCATTACATTCTGCATCGATTGACTGGACTAATGGTAAGTAGTAATCGACGGCTGAAAGACACCATTTTTCCCGTATTTTTATCTGTAGCATCCAAAGTACTGGTCCTATCAAAATATTCTTGTGATCAAAGTTGTAGGGAATTTAATTAATTAATTTGATCCTTTTTAACGATTCTCATATGGCAAATTCCATAAATAAATGTTAAGGGTTTTGCAAGTTTTGGGCACCATTCCTCAACTGTGGGTTGATCTCAATGGCATTAACAAACTTCATCTTCCCCTGCTGAAAAAATGCTGATGTGCTGTCGCATCCACCGATTGCGTGGAGGAAGAGCGAAGGTGCCCAGCAGCCCTGCAGGCAACAACGTGTTGGATGACGGCGCCCTTCCCTGATGGTTTTAGAGGTTGGTAGATGTTGTGACATGAAGAGGGTCTTTAACAGCTCTGATGTAATTGGTCGGTTGATATTCTTCTCGTTAGACAGGACCCTTTCTTTCAGCATTGTGGCTTCATGGTTTTCGTAATAAGGACAGTCGCTGCAGAAAGTTTTCTTTGGCGACGATCGCGCTCTGATACCTTGGTACTTTTGGCTCAGTATCCATCACAAATTGCAGATTGTTCTTTGAGGGTTGTAGTGACAGTTTATGTATGCCACAAATTTATTAAGGATGGTCGACACTATGGTACCTTGTGTAATAGGAAGCATCGAGCTGCTGTTCGGATGATGCATAAGTGAAGCCACAGAAGTCTTCACATTGCACAGAATTTGAGGCACAAATGCAATCCATTTCATGATGGTACTATCAGTAATGCCTCGTCCATGAGTTAGGCCTCTACCTCTTGTCTTAATTGTGCTCATTACCATCTGCTCAATATTGTCATATCAGTCCGTATTTTACGAAACGGCCCAACTCGGCTTTTGAAAGGTTAATCATGTCTTGGTAGATAGAGCTGGCATAATTTATCTTATCAAAAATGGCCACAGGTGGGGAAGTAAGGCAACATTTGTTGTACACTTTCCAAGCGAGTCTACCAGCGATCATTTTACAATGGTTGCCAACTTGAAGTACAGTTTAGCTGTTTGAGTTTAGACAATTTTGTGATGCAACTGTGCAAAGTAGAGCTGATTGATGAGTGCTGCAATTCTTCAAAGGAATGTGGCCTCCCAACATTGTTTAGTACTTCCAAATTAGAGGCGTTTTCATCATCAAGTGTGAGCCTATGCCAGGTGAATAAAGATGTGTCCCCTGACTGCCCTTGAATATGCATGACATGTGAGCATTTTCTCTGTTAATGCCCACAAGTCGAAACTTCGAACTCAACACTTAAATTGAGAAGGCCGAAGCTCTTGAGCTCGAGGTATAGGAGGGGACAAGCACCATATTCCTTTGTTTTGTTTTGTTACAAGGGTGTTTTCATAAGACCAGAACTTTGGATGCTACAGAAGCCAGAAAGTCGTCAAATGGTACACCTTAGTCGTGTCGTCCTTCAGCCGGCGATAGTACCTTATAAATTAGTCCAGTTTTAAAGTTTGTGGACTCAGTAGACGCTCTTTAATTTGTCTCTGGGTAATGTTTTCGCTAGAATGCGTTGTTTAGGAGTTATAAGCGAAAAACTGAAGAAATTTCGAAGTTTTTGGGGCACCAAAAGAGCTCGATGTGGTTTTTAAATTACCTTTGAGGAACGCCTCGTCTGCTCTCCAAGTTAAGATGAAGTTGTCAATAGAACCGATAAGGGTAGGTAATTAAAAGAGGTAAGTCTTTGACCTTCTCTAGAACTGAACCACTGGAGATTCTTTGGCGCCTTGAATGTTAAGTACCCTTCCCCTTTGAAACTTTTGAACGCGTAATCAATTTATATACTCAGTTGCCACGAACACTTTTATAGCAAAATGCGCTGGGAAGCATTAGCCCAATTTGGTTATTACCAAGGAGTACACATATGTGCTGTCACACATAGAAATCACCAAAAGTAGTTACAGGTTTTGGGTTTTCACAGATGACTAGACGTTTCTAAACCAAAAAGGGGGCTCCCAGGGAAAGGAATTGTGATCACGTTGGTCGATTTTTGGTTAGTAAAGAATGTAAGTGATTCAGAAACAGTGGGCAGATGTTGTTAGTAGAAGAGGGATCAGGTCATTTGGATCATTAGCAAACTAGCAAGAAGTTAATCATAGTTTGTTGGCTTGTGGCTTATATAATCTCAACTCAAAGATGGGACAGTAAAATCTGCATTCAAATACCGTTAGCAGAATATAGAGCTTTCTTGACGACACTGTGACGCTAGCTAGTTCGAGCCACTACTACATTGCCTAGCTGGTAGCGTAACGTAAAAAACCTAAAGGATCTCCTTTTAATCATATAAAATATTATGCTTTACACAGAGAAGCGCTAACAAATATTGACATCAGTTCACATAGAAAGCCATTTTATTTTATTACTGGAAATTTTTGATCCAACGGATTTTAGTTAAGTCAAGAAAGCACGAGGTGCTTTTCCAACTTCCCTAATTTCACAGTATATTTAGTTGTATCAAACTGGGAACGCTACAATTTGATACAACGTGATTAGTAATGCGATCGACGTACTCATGTTAGTAATGTCTACGAAGCGGGCGTATTTACAGTGATGCGAAATAAAGAAAATGCAATCAACTTACGTTTAATCCAATTTCTGGAATGGAGTAGTTTCCGTATTGGTCGATGATACATTGCGCTTTCTTGTTAAAGGCTTCTTTCGTAGAGGACGCCCACCAGTCGACCAAATTTCCATCTTTGTCGAACTGGCGACCTTGATCATCAAATCCGTGAGTGATTTCGTGGCCAATTACGAAACCGATCGCCCCATAGTTCATGTATCGTGGTCTATCATTGTTGAAGAACACCCCCTGCAGGATTCCGGCGGGGAATTCTGTACGGTATAATGATTAAACCTAAACTAAAAATAAAGTAAAACGTACGTATACTGTTCTCGATTGCTGAATAAAATGCGTTGACAACAGCAGGCCTTCCATGAGTAATCCACTCGGTTTTGTTTACTGGCATTGTCAGTCGTTTGAAGGAATACTCGGTTCCAAACAATGTGAGACTCAGCATGGTTCTTAGGTAGTGATCAGATTTAAAATCGAGCTGAAAATGTAATTCAGCCATTGAAAAAGAGATAGTGTACTCACCCCTCCATAAAACTCTTCCAATTTTTGGTCTGAGAGAAGCTCATCGGGGTAAGCAATGTGGGACGTCATGGTAGCTGCTTTCTCCAGAGCGTGTTTCCTTGTAACGTTATCCATCCATTCAACTGTCTTTAGTATATCAATAAACTCGTTCCTAATGTCGGAAACCATCTCTATGGCGTTTTGTCTGGCATCCTCGTGGAAGTATTTACGAACGTATAAAGCACCCGCGGCAATAGACAAACTAAATTTAACTTTACAATGAGCTCATTAGATACCTGTTACTAACCTTCCAGCAGCTATATCGACGCATTCCTTCCATCTGGACTCTCTTTCTGTGCGACCGCTCAAAATTGTGCTGTACCGCAATTGACGTTGGCGCAGTTGCTCAGTGAGGTACGATACCGAAGAAGCAGCAGCTCGCCACATGACGTAGTTCGCTTGTATCCTACAACGCAAGTTTCAACTTCTGGTTAATTGCTCTTCTAGTTACCTTTTGGGTGTATTGCTAAGTAATTTTTCTAACTCCGTAATGTAACTAGGAACACTAATAATGACCATGTCGGTGTTTTTGATTTTAATTTCAGGCAAGTCTAATACTGAGTTTAAGTACTCTAACCAAGGAATACTGTGGAACTTTAGTTGCAGATCGGCCACTGACATCGGATTGTACAATAAGCTGGCATTTCTTCGTTTCTCACTTGGGAGTGAAATCTAAAATTTACACTTAAGCTCAAAATTCAGGAAGAAGCGGGAGTTACATTGGCAAGTTTGATTTCGAAATCCAACGATTCCTTCAGCTCCTTTTTAGCCACCTCCGTATCGGCCCCAAAAATAACGGCGATGTCGACCATGTAATCGTAGTAGGCGCGCACAAGTTTATCGTCAAGTCCCTTAATCAGGAATTCTCTTCGTAAACCTAAAGCTCCCTGATCGATCTGTAACGTAATGATGAAGTGAAGAAAGAGAGTTGCAACGTTATAGTTACGTCAATAACTCGCCGTGAAGTATTCTTGAAATCGATGCCAATAGAAAAGTCGAGGAAATAATCGACGCTGTATCCCGCTTTCCGGAATTTGTAAACTGACTGTCTCCAGTTAAATTTACCCTCTTCCCATTTCGGCCCCTCTAGCACCGGCCATCCGCCCAAATCCTTCAGGATTGATTTTATCGTAGTCAGACCGTCAGATTCGATTGCGGTTTTGTTCATGCACGACTTGTAAACTCTCTTGAGCAGCACGAACGGTTTAGGTTCGCGAGGTTTGACCGGTTCTTCTATCATCGTCCTTAACTGTTCTTGTAGCAGATCGCTGATAACGCTAAAGGAAGTAACCGAAGACTTGTCGTCTGGGATATTCGTCTTCTGGATGAAGTTACCGCATGCAAATTGATAGAAATCGTCACACGGGTCGACAGTCTGGTCCATATTGTTTAAAACATCGGCAGCTGTACGAATGCATCCTGTTGTTAAACATACATTCTTCACGCAGTGTTGGTCGGAAATTGTGTTTGTAGAATCTGGTCGATCATCTTGCAATGCTTCACTGTGGATAAGATCTGCAAATAACCCTTTCAATAGGCGATTCGGGATAACATTGGCAATTACCGCTTGATTTGTCACTAGGTCGGTTGTACAATACGGTTACAAGAGCTATGAGCAAAGCAATGGTAATGAAGAAGACTACCGCTGAAAGTAACGTCAGACATCTTTCCATGCTTGTTCGCCTCTTCCACCATGACGGATTTCTGAAAGACAAATTGCTAGAAATATCTAAATGCCCAAGACCTACACCTTGAAATTGAATTTCAAGCATTTACTGCTTGGAATGCCAATCAATGTGTTGGAAGTAAGTTTTATGCATTCAGTATAATCGCTCTCCTGCTTCAATTACCTATAGCCTTATTCGAAAAGTTGTTTAACTGTTCGCGTGAGAGAAATTACACGCATTTGCTAAAAAAAATAAAAATATTTAACCGCGTTTTGTCTCCAATTATTTATACTCAACAAGTTGGACGATTTCCAACTGCGGAATAGTATATGTTTAGGTAAAAGAAAGGTTACGCAACCTACGGCTATTAACGACTAGAAAATATCCTACCCTAATTGGAAACATGAGAATGTTTTTATTCCTTCTGGACCTGATATTCGCCTATAGCTAATTTCGTCGTCTAAACGCAGCATTGCACTTTCACTTTGTTAATTACAAGGTAGATAACTGATAATAAGAATGTTATTGAAATGTCGAGATTAGGAACACAGGGAGCACATAATTAAAAATTTCACTTTCAATAGTATTAAAAGTTAGAAAGTAGTGTAACCACTGAAACCATCACATGTCGACTACTGACGAAATAGCATGTTCGCGGTTGATTTACTGGCGCTCCAATAAATTTTATGACCGGCTAAAATAAACAAAACACACTTTCAGATAAGATTATGATGTTAATGAATGGTTGCAATATCAATAAAACAGAACATATTGTGCGATATCGTAATGTGACTTTCAGTACGGACGTACCTATCAAATTAGCTGAATACACGAGGATAGTTCGGAAAACGCTGAAGTTTCAGGATTAATCATCGCGGCTATGCATGTTACCATTGTATTTATAAAATACAATGATGTTATATTACCTTTGCCTTGTATCTTATTTATTTATTAATGACATCAGAGGTCTATAATGAACCCCAAAAGTTTGATAAAGATCTAACCGTTTTTTGTTAACCTTTCAAGTACAAGTAGGGTAATTGATTGTCCGAATAATTCTGTTCTACTAAGTGGTAGAAAATTAATTGACTGACATGGCAATGGTATTTTTTACACGATTGTACTTAATTTTCACTATACTATATTGTATTCAAGATCATGGGACTCTCAGAAACCATTCAAGATACGACGATGGTCAAATTACGGAAAAGTTGTGCAATTAAAGAGCTCAGGTTGTAAGGAAAACAAGAAAATTTCGAATATTTCCCAAGACGGGCCAGAAAATCCAACATTTGCCGATTTACAGTTCTGTATATTGGCAAAAGTTCAAGCTTTTTCTGAGTTTAAGTAAAAGAATTTGGTTATTCCACAGGAAATAATCACAGTTTTCAACTAATCCTCTAAAATTTTCATGAAATTTGATAGATTCATAGGCGCGTAGAGTGGTAGAGCTGTAAACTTTGGAAAAACCCAAAAATTAAACCTTTCAGAGATGAGTAGAGTACCAAGGAGGATGGCGCAAAACCTCTTATGTCATTTGGAAGCTTAAAAAGTAATCTCGAGCATATTTCTAACTAGGTTTCTTCCATAAAGAATTAGGTATCCCAAAATAGATACGCCTACCCGAGGGAGAAACCGGAGTACACATCTAATGCACACAGTAGTAAATGTCCACAGGATATCCAAGGATGTCCACAGATACCCAAGTGTATCCGGTAAACTTTAGATTCAGTGGTTCGCGTTTCAGTGAAAGTCCGAAAATTTTACTTTTCTCTCAACACATAGGCGAATAGAATTAACCAGGGAATTAACGGGTTTGACTAGTTTTTTGCAAAGGCGCACCCAGAACGGGGGTGGGAAAAAATTCTTGTCACGTGTCACGTTATCATTGACCATGAAAATATCAAAACCAAACTTTGTTTTTACAAATAAAAAAAAATACCTTTCACATTCAATTTACACACGTGTGTCCACTTCTTGGTAAAGCGAGCATATGTTTGAAGAAAAGCACAACAAAATCATAACCGAAAGCCTATCCTTCTATCTACTGTTGTAACGAAGCACCCGGTTTTACACCATGGAATCGACCAGATTAAACGAACACTGAGTACACGGACGAACTCAACCGGGCGCTTCTTTACGAGAAACTGTCGCTTCCAGATCTATTTATTTATCTTCTAGTGGTCGGAAATAGAAGGTAAAGTTAATTGCTTTAATTTTTCGTTTTAGTCGCTGTAAGAAAAACAAGATGCCGTTCCTAATTGTTCCCGTAAAGATATTTTAATTATTATTGAACCTTCTAAAAGCTCTCGTCATTTGGAGGTGATTTCCGTTCCGTTAATTGATTAAAATTTTTATCTCAATCTTCGCTATCAATTTGTTCGTTAATGCATTTGTGACAGCTCCGACTTGATTTATTGCGTTTTCGCTTATTTTAGAAGAGATTAATGTAATTGTCACACAAGGTGGCTTTTGAATCGTAAAAAATTGTTTGTTTTTGTCAAAAATGATTTTGGTAAGATAATTCCGAGAAAAATGGGTGTACGTAAGAAAAACCCAGCATCATCTCGCAGCGAGCTGATGATTGGTTGATCGACTTGCCAAGGGTCGTTAATTGGTTGTCAAATCTGGATGCAATATAAGGAGGAAAGTCCTGGAGTACGCGTTCAGAAGGTTTTTTTGCCAATTTTAGAAGAAAGTGTTTACCGATGTTCGAGACCAAGTTTCGATTCGCGGAAAATACCTTTTTGCCATTATTTGAAGCCGAGGTGCCGTTGTAAGTAAAAGAAGGCTGTATACCAAGTTCGAGGCCGGTTTGCCGTCCGTGATCTAAGTTTATTAATTAGATTTCATGATTCATTTCTATTGTAGCCGTGGAATAAATTTTATTATTGTAATACCATATGCAAGTCGTGTGCTTATTCGATCCCTTTAACAACGAAGAGAGATATTTCATGCTCAAATACGTTTAATTTCGTTTTTTTGTGCCCAAACTTCATTTCAAGTGCTTTAAAAATTTGGTGTGACCTTTTTGAAATTTAAGGAGTTTGATCCTGACCATTGTTTGCTTGAAACCAGGAATTTGAAGTTAACATTGAATTATTTTGTTGTGGCGGGGGGTGGATATGTACTGAGAGAAATTTCATTAAGATATCTCGATAACGGAACGAAATGGGGAAGCACTTTGGAAGTATGGTGTTCCCTTAAATACTGGATTCAACGTAAAAATGAAGCTGCTGCCACGAGTTATGCGACGGTTAAAGAGCGTGTAAATTTGTTTACACTAAATCTCGGGTAATCTGCCTTAGTCGTTTTGTTGAAGTAAAAAAGTGGAGTTTCCTGAAGTTGTCATTGAGAAATGGTTTATGAAACCGAGTATGAAACGCAATGAAGGCCTATCTTAGCTCAGTTGCTCCATTATTTCATTTGGAATTTTAGGGTTGTGATCATACCCCTAAGAGATCTGCAGTGAGTTCAAATCGAATCTCTTCTAAAAGTTAGACAATAATGGGTGTGTTGCTGTTCAAATTTGCGATTTTTATGCAAGTTAAAATGAGAGCTGAATTAGAATACGTACAAATGAAATAAAGTTAAAATCTGTATCTTTCGTAACAATAAAGTGTTCAGTGGAAGCGTGATCCTCATAAAGTGAAGAGACCACAATGATGTTACAGAACTATAACCAGTCTATTGAACCTTGACATTTCGGTGGGTTTTCTCTGATGGCTTAGTTTCCCAATGTTCTTAGAAATTGTTTACGTCTCCTTGTAGCATTACAATCAAATTTTGAAGACACACTGGTAAGCTAATCGATTTATTCAGCAAGTTATTTATACGTTGTCTTCCATAAAATTGATTGCCAATTAAATCAACAGTTTAACCGTGAACAGTTACCTCAAACCTGCATCCGCCGTTATTCTATATAAGCCAGTAAGGCCAGTGCATTATATTGCAATCGTTAAACTTTAAGAACAAATTAGTACTTCGGTTGTAAATTAGCCGGTGTGACTGCTGAAGTGCCAATAATATTTTCTGAGCAGCAATTTTAATTCTTATATCGGGTTCGCTGATGAGAATAATTTTTAATTCGGTTCACATTACAATTTAACGGATTTAGTCGCCGCCCTAAACTAAAAGATTTAAATAATAGTATATGGTATTTTGGATATCAAAGAAATTTTAAATAAAAGGTATGCCAAAACTAAAGCAAGTTATTTCAATTGTAAATGAGTTAATGATCAACAGGTCTCTAAGAGAACCATTTCCTTTTTGTATTTATCTAATCCCATATTATTAAATAATCAATGAAATCAAAATGAATTTGAAAACGCTGCTACGGTACCTATTAGACACTGAAAAGTGAAACCATATGTATCTAAACGAGTAAAATGCAAAAAATTATCAAAAACTTCCACCCGTTTGGGGCGGAGTAGATACAGATTAAATAATGCTCGACCACTAAATGTAAAACAAGAACTTTTTTATTTTAAGAGTTACAGAATTGTTATTGTTATTCCTTCTCCTTGGTAACCCTCCACAACCACCTTCCACCAAAAATCGATCACTCCAAAATTTCGCGGGAAAACACTTTTTCTTGTTAATTTTGGTGCGTAGAATCCAAAACAATTCTTACTTTTTCGATCAGACTTCTCAATCAAAAGTTATAGACTAGAAACCAATTTCGAAAGAAAGTTCAAAAGGCTGTAACTTTTGAACTAGTAGCCCAATCTTCGAACTGTTTGAAATTATGGATTCTACAGGCCACATTCTATAAGAAAATGTGATTTTCCGGTCGATCTGAGACAATTTTTTTTTCGGGGCTCAAAAAAAGGCAGTGTACAAACCTTCCTTTTTTTCCAAAAATCGATCACTCCAAAATTTCTTGGGAAAACACTTTTTCTTATTAATTTTGGTGCGTAGAATCCAAAACAATTCGTACTTTTTCGATCAAACTTCTCAATCAAAAGTTATAGACTAGAAACCAATTTCGAAAAAAATTCAAAAGGCTGTAACTTTTGAACTAGTAGCCCAATCTTGGAACTGTTTGAAATTAGGGATCTACAGGCCACATTCTATAATTAAATGTTTTTTTCCGGTCGATCTGAGATAATTTTTTTTTCGGGGCTCAAAAAAAAAGGCAATGTACAACCTTCCTTTTTTTCCAAAAATCGATCACTCCAAAATTACTCGGGAAAATACTTTTTCTTATTAATTTTGGTGCGTAGAATCCAAAACGAATCGTACTTTTTCGATCAGACTTCTCAATGAAAAGTTATAGACTAGAAACCAATTTCGAAAAAAATTCAAAGGGCTGTAACTTTTGACCTAGTAGCCCAATCTTGGAACTGTTTGAAATTTTGGATTCTACAGACCACATTCTATAAGATAATGCTTTTTCCGGTCGATCTGGGACCTTCCTTTTTTTTCAAAAATCGACCACTCCAAAATTTCTCGGTAAAACACTTACCGACTTTGTGGTTCAATGGTAGAGCGTTGAGCTATAAAAGCTGGAGGTCGGGTGTTCGAACCTGGACTCCGGTAAGAATCTTTCATCTGTGACAGAGATAGGAATTTCCTTAGACCAGTTTTGAGCATTCTGTCGGTTACTCCGAAGTTCGTGAGGTAAATACAGGAGTAGTATAGA